ATTGGAGTACAGGTCCTGGATGGAGGGCAGGGGGGCTCCATGATCTTCTCAGCTGGTCTGACTGTGCGCTGCAGCCTGTTTCTGTCCTGCAGTGTGGCTGCTCCAAACCACACAGTGATGGAGCTGCACAGGACAGTTTGGATGACAGCTTCATGTCATTATCATGATTTGACTTTTTGAGCAGCAGATCCACTGAGGGACCGTCATCGTGTTGGTGTGACGGATCCATTTCCTGTAACTCCACGTTGTTTGTTCTGATCTTGTTTGACTGTCGAGTTGCTGGTTTACATGTACAAACTGACTGCTTTTCATATTAACTTGTGTCACACATAGAGGTAAAACAGAAACTGCTCCTGTGGCAGACCATGTCTCGTCAGCTATAGCAGGAAGTAAAACCTCTGCTGAACCTTTTTGAGGCTGTATTTGGGGAGGCACCCAATGACTATGTTATTCATAGAGGTAGCCTACAGTAATTTCTCATTAAGTGTTCTTTACTTGTACTCACATTGTACGACTAAATACAGACCTAACCTAATTAAATAGATCTAACAAAATAAACATGATCTGGCAAAGGTTTCTGGTCAGAACACACATTTACAACATGAAATGTACAATAACTGCTTCTTTCAACAGCAGCTCATGACACTCAGACTGATTCACAGTGAAGACTGATGTTAAAATAACAGCCTGATGGCTCACGGTAGATTAAAATGATACATACATGTGAATACACACATAAACACAAAGCTCTCCTCTTTTATATTAACAATGTTGTCTCTGAGGAACGTCTGTCTGTCCTGCTCTGGTGCTGATGATGGACTACAGCTGCTGGACTGGTCCTGTTTTGGATGCCTGTCCTCAGAACCGTCCCCCTGAACCTGCCTGGTTCACTGGTCTGACCCTCACATGGCTTCTTAACTGTTCAGGACTTTTGGGCTCTTTTGGACCCCGGGCCGTTTGGTTTAGGTGTCAGCTATTGTTTTTTGATTTTTAAAGATTTTATTTTTAAATATAAAAAGAGGGACAAAAATATGTCAACTTATGAGAAAATGTATTTAACATCACATAAAAGTCTATAATGAATACCAACAAATATTTGCACATATTCTTTCTTGGGGTCCAATGACCTTCTATGAATGGCAACATGAAGTCCTGAACAGGGTTCAGATGACTAACCACGCTGGCTGCTCCTCTTTCTGACATTACTGGCAGCCCTGGTTGCTGCTGCTGGAACAGAGACTAAATGACACCATTCAGCTGTAACCCAGACTTGTGATGGGGAATGTCCTGGCTGCTCCCAAAAAATCTCTGTGTAAAGTGTCTTCATTTAACATTAGCATATTTTCCTTGTTTGAAAAAACAAACAAACAAACAAAACAAAACAAAAAAACACACCGTAGCAAGGTTCCGTGTCACATAATCATTAATGCAGGAACCTCTTGACGGTTATTTACCATCTAGCTGGCCCGTTTCATCAGCTTCTCTACCGAATAACATCAACTTTTTATCATCAAAATGTTTAATGATGAAGTGAAGATAATGGCTAAATCTACGAGTT